AAGGTTGTTAAGGGTGTCCGGCCCAACCGCTATCTTCCAGACGCTGAGTTTTACTCGTTCTGGCCCAGTGAATACCCTGCGTGATCGGTATTTAGATTTAGATTACAAGCCTAGAAATATTACCCCGTCGTATTGCTTATTAACAAATTCGTCTAGTTCGTCCACTGGCCTACCTTTATGGCAAGTGCCGTCTGACTGGTAATTAAATATTGGGCAATAAAATTTAGTGTGTCTAATTTCGCAGTGTTTAGTTGAAAGCGCTCAATTTTTTTTCCAGAACATGCTGAATAATGATAGTCCACCGGATGAAAAAAACTAAATATGCCTTTAGATAGTAATATATTTGGCAAAGCCCTGACAAAATTTGGTATTTTAAGGTGTCATTAACTAAAGTTTGGGTGTTAACTTAAGTATATGCTTTTTTGCCAACCCTCAGAAGATCTAAAATTAACAATTTAGTTCTCGGCGGCTGTCTAAAGTACAGTAATATACGAGATAGTTTAATCAAATTCTGATAGATTGCGTGCATTAGAAGACGATATTCGTTGGTTTGAGTTAAAACCTCTACCCAACTGGATGTCAAGTAAACCGATACTCAGCGGTCCGTCAAACTTGCTCTTAAAATAAGGCGGCGATTCACCTGAAAGTAGTATTAATAGTATTATATGAACTGAGGCTACATTTGCTATAAAAAGGCTGATATTTCTGAGCCAGGACGTCGATGTGAATTGCACATTTGATGTTTACTCGGATGCGTCCATGGCTATGGTTTTGCTAGCCATTCCTGGTATTATAGTGAAAACACATGCAGTATTGTTTTAGCCTTTTGTGAGTTAGGAGAAGAGGCATGGTCTTTACCACGTGTGATTTCCTTTTGTTATACGCCTTGACGAAAACGACCTGCTATGCAGGAACAACATAAACATTGCCATTGGCCCTTAGCCCTTAGTTTAAGGTATTAAATGCTGCTTAATTTATTACATCGACAGCAGCATTTAGGCACATGCAAATAGCTCAAAGAAGGGTCTTTTACCATAAAGTATTGTCTATCATTTCCGTATCCCAAAGATATGCAGTGACAACGGTCCACCGAAACCGATATGGTCAAGTTGTCCGAAGAAGGTACACAGCCTAGGAAACCAAATCCCCCAAGTATTTGGCATTATAACATTTCGAGACTCCAATTTATATACCATTGCTTCCTAAACTTAATTTATTTGCTGTTTTTTAAGGTGGTAACGTATAGCAAAATACTTTGTGAAGATTGGGGCAAATTTAACGAAAACTCCTCAGACCGTTGGACATATGTTCATTTCTCACCGAAGTTAGCGGGGCGAGTGTAATTTTTTGACGTTTTTTATGGCAAATACCTGCCTATTTGCTCCTGCCTAAAGCCTCGCTTTAAAATAAACCCTAAGACTCTCTGAGTAGAAATTAAAGTAGCTTCTCCGATTGACCAACAAGCAGCACTAAGTGGGCAATATTGACAGAATTGAAGTGAATCTCGAATTTGGCATTTTCTGTTTCCTTCTACTTTACACATTTTATTCAGCTGCTAACTTAAAATTGGCTTTCTATGCTTTATGTTACCCCGGCTTGTATTTCTCTTGTCATTGGAAAACGTGTGGCCAATCAGAGTTCAGATAGCACACAGCTCAACCATTCGAACCTCTTTTATGTAACGGAACCTTTAAAGGCATGAGGAAACACAATGTGACAGCATTTTGTTAGAATGGAATTAAGAAAAGCCGAGGGGGTTGTTGACGTCTTCAAGACTGTCATGCTGGTCTATATCGGAGGCCCAATAACAGTGGTGGGAATTATCACCAGTATTCTCAGCCTCCTAATGTTTAAACGAGACACCGCCACCTCGGCCAGTACTCGCCTTCTGCTCTCTGCAATCGCTGTAGTGGATATCCTCTTCCTGGCCTGCTGCTTCATATTCTGGACCATCAGGGGCATATTCGGTGAAAGCCCAGCCTTCGCCGCCTTCATGGACAGTCCCTTCGTCTACGGTTTCCTCTTCTACGTCTGCAACGTCTTTGAGATGGTGCGAAATTGGCTGATTGTGGTGCTGGCCGTGGAGCGACTGCTCTTCTTCATGAAACCCCTCGAGTTCAAGAGTATTTGGTGTCTGTCACGTGTCCGCGGCATCATAATTGCGGTCATTCTGCTCTCACTCCTCGTCCGTTTACCCGTGCTGCTCTTCGGCATTGCCAAACACGACAGCCATTTGGACCAAGGCGTGACTCGCACCACCAGACTGATACACGCGCTGACAGACTGTCTCGTGCTCACCACCCTGCCGGTGACTGTGATGATTGTGCTCTCCACCCTGACAACCGCTCGTGTGCGCGCAATGATTGAGATGAAACGTCGTCTGG